CTTTGTGTGATAAATCATCACTGTGGCTTACCACTTTAACACTTATGAGTATGCCGAAGCGGTCCTTGACATCTGGGAAAAAGCTCAGTGGCTTACAGCGATGGTGAGACATCATAACCACACATCTACACAGACACACACGACTGCTTCTCACTATAAAAATGTTTATTCAGTGTTTGTGACCATCATGAAGTTCCTCTCAAAGCCAGAAACCAAGACTCTCTTGATGATGTCATCCAGGGAAAAAAGTTTTCCACTGACAGTGTTTATAAGGGTGACTATAGAGGGATAAACAGCATGGATCTTTCACTTCATATGAGTCCTGATTTGATTATGCATTGATAAAACTGCAAAGCATGCCATTTCATGCAAAAAAGGCCAAATGTTATTGAGATGGCTGTGGTTGTTGGGGCAATTTGGTTTGTGTGCTGCTGACTAACTTTCATACCAGAAAGGTTGGCTAACATAATGCAGTTGTTTCCAGTTGCTGGGTTACAAATGACTGCCTATATTGTTGTAAGATACATGCAGGTCTAAGCCTAAATGAGTGTAGAGGAGGTTGGTTCTAATCAATGCTTAGAATCCAACACAAGAAATCCCTGTTGAGCCTTGTTTTCCTTGGTCTAATTCATCCTTGATTGAAGGAAAAACCTAAATACATGCAGCTGAGACATTTGCATCATAAACAAAACAGCAGAACACACATTTTCCAGTTGACACAAGGAGCTGCTTGGGTTCCTATGTCCCTGAGTGTCTGGACTCCTGATTGCTATGCACACACGTCTCAGTGGAAGGTGGCAGAACAAATTGCCATCATCTGAAATTTGCGTGTGTACACACATGTTTGTGTGTGCATGCATGTAAGTGTGTATGTGTGTGTGTGTGACCTTGACATATTGCTAATCCATTGAAGGAGAAAGACTTGACCCGATCGCTGCAGGGCCAAAGAGCATGACTGACACTTTATGCACATTTGTGTGTATGTCTGTGTTTTGCTTACCCCTGTGTACGTGCCTGCAATGCTGTGCATGGCTGAGTGTGACAACCTGTGTGTGTGTGTGTGTGTTCATTTCACCTGCTTTATAAACTTGAATTAAGCTGCTTGCACCACCCATAACTCAGCTAAAGTGCCCTTCTCCAAAAGACCAACAAATCTCTCAGAGATTTAATATCTCTGATTGTGTATTTGACACTTTTACAGCCTCGACACTGATTGCCATCATCCAGCTACAAACTGCGTATTTAGTTAATGCCTTGAAGTGTTAATTCTACAGTTATTAAAACAGCCTGAAGATGCTGGAGAGTGAGAAAAATAGAGGACAAAAAGAGAGCACAAGTGACAGAACCAAACAATAGCCACATTATGAGCAAAGAAAAAACTGAAAGAGGAGGAGACAATGGGAAATAAGAAAATGAGTGGGAAGAGGAGATGGGAATACAGGAGAGAAATGCTGAATTGCTATTGCATGGTGCGGTAGAAAAGACACTTTGCTCAGCAAGCTCTAGCTGCCAGGAAGCATTTTAATCACAACAGTAGATCCAAATAGGAGCCGAAAGCGGGGTAGGTCAGGAGGTTGGGTCGATTTGAAGTAAAAGGTTATCGCAAGAGGGGGCTGAGTGTAATCAGATCTGGTTAAGGGAAAAATCACTGTTATAACAGTAAGAGAGAAAGTGAAGGACGGAGGGACAGACAAAGTCAGAAGGAAAATACATACTACACAGGAAAAAGAAAGGTAGAGGAGAGCGATCTCAAGAGAGAGAGAGAGAGAAAAGTAAAAGAGATGCAGAATTTCTATCATCTTCCCCTTTTCTGGTCCTTCGCACCTTCTTAGCGGCATCCTCCATCACCATCCCTCCACCTAACCTCCAGCAGAGGTCTTACGTGTGTGAAATACTATATACCCTGTGTGAAGAAGTTGATTGAAAAAAAGAGGGAAACATGATACAAGAAAGGTAGCATGCAAGTTTGCTTTTGATAGAGTGTAGAACTAGAAAAAAATGTAGAAACGCATAAATAAACCATTTAAAATTTGGCCTTGAACAGTCCTAATTATGTCCAAATATAGAATTATTTAAGTTTCTCAGAAATGCAAAGTCATTTCAGCAAAAAAACTAAACAAAAGTAGGCTAACTAAAAATAAAAACGAAATAAAACAGGACAATTAAGGGGAAAACTGCGGTGTGTAAGGTTGGACTCACTGTGACTAATGTGGCAAAACTTGCTGAGAGCTGGCATTACATGAAATGATGGAAGGGATACAATAAGCCATAGTAATGCAGACACAAACATTATCTCTCTGTCACAAACATGTATGGATGTATAGACATATGTTCATATCAGCTACCTTGCTAAATCAGTAAGCCACTGAAAACTGTGGCCTTCAGTATGCATTTCTGTGCTGCTCGTGTTTGCATTCACGTGTTTACCTTGGAGAATCTCAGAAGCCTGTATACGTAGGCTTGCCTGCATCTGTCTCTCAGCAGGTATTGTACATAAGCCAAAAAAAGCACATTACCCAGCTTTCATTGCACCCCGAGGAGGGCCCATTCCATTCAACAATGTTATTAGCGGAGCTTCGAGGGATATTTCTGACTGTGTTACTAACTCTCTGCTGACAGACAGAAAAACATCCTCACATACCAAAGGAGTGAAGTTGATGATCCTCTGTTCTAAATTGAAATGGTCTTTAAAGCTCACAAGAAAGAGTAATAATTGAAAAATATGTTGCTGTGATACTACCATTGTATATTGTGTAAGCTTGAGTCAACACATTTTTCTATGAATGCACTCGTATATATTTACAACATTTAAATAATCTGGTACAGGTTGAATTTGCATATGATAGTCTACATAATATATTATTACTTTCTAGTGCAGTGGTTCTCAACCTCAGGTCTGGGAACCACCAGGAGACAGGAGAAAAGTTAGGAATATTTGATTTACTAGAAGTTAGCCACATGAGAAAATGTATAAGAATTACTCTTTTGTTCATAGATTTCCCATTCTTCACTGTTAATCAGCAAATCTGCAAATCTACAAACACAATTATGGAAGAAAAAAATGTTATCAGACTGGAATCCCTGAGACTACATCTTTTCAAATACAGGTCCGGAGCCTGATGTGTATCAATTTGAGGGTCCTTGACACCAAAAAGGTTGAGAACCACTGGTCTAGTGTATAAGCCTACAACAGTATAACAGTTATGGCCTATGCAATTTTTGACCTGTAGTGTAATGTATAAAATGTGATTATTTGTTTTTATAATTATATCTTTATTCATATGATTTATTTGTGCTTTTAGATTTTTTGTTAGCCTTCTTCCAAATGCAAATGTTAGACAAATTTACAGCCAAATAAAATAACCTGAATGAAAAAATCAAGGGACAACATGATGGATTTCCTTCTGCAGCATGACCAACTTGGGAAAACAAGATTTCCAGGGTACGTGTCTGTTAGAGTGATACTGTCTGTTAAAGTACTACATATGAGGATGTGTGCAGTTTGTTCTGAGTGTCTGCTGAATGGACTCTATCAAAGCCCCCAGTTGTCCTTTTGAGAGTTCACTCAAGCAGAGCCACACTGTCAGTATAAGCCAGGTAAACCGAGGAGGTGGGGTCGATTTTGTTATTGGTATTTCTTTTCTGCTTGACCTTTCTATAACCTGACCACTCAGACAAGTCCCAGTTGTCTTATATGGCTGAATTGACCAGAGCAATGACGCTTGGAAAACTACTGTTGTGGGTTCAATTCTCAGGCCAGTGAAAGGAGCTTTGAAGGAACAATCCATTCTGTTATATGAGGCTTACATTGAAAGAACAAACAAGGCTTTTTAGGTGATTTCTATCAAACATCTTAACTCCCTTGCTACACAGTTGCTGCAGAGCCGTCAAGTGACCATCACTCACAGCCAAATTCAACCGTTTCTTTCCCCTGGACTGTTGTTGGGGGTCTAACAATCCTGAAATGATTTCCCCATGTGATCAATGTGTATGCAGTGTTACACTGTAACACTGTCTGCTAGAGTGATATTGAGTCTGGTAGGGTTTTGTCTGGCTTGTGTTCTTTTGGTGACCTTATAGTCAGACTCCCAGTTGTCATATTAAATTCTTCACCAGACCATAACAGGAAGCTGCTGATGGTAGATTAACATTATTGAGCTAAGTCTCCTCTTAGAAACGTTCCCCACCATGTATCATTCAGTGTAAAAACAATTTTTAAAGGTCTACCCAACTACAAGTTTTTTCCTGAGTGTTTGGTTTCTAGACACTAGTTAATATTAATACCTCATGACAGTAATGTGCCTTTACACATCACAATAAAGCCAAACAGTCAGTTTTAATCCTTTATTTTCATTAAAAAAAACATTTTTAAAGTTATTTATGGACTTATTTTTTCAGCAATACCCATTCAATATATTCTGCAATTATCTCTCTATAGAGTTTTCATTGTTAGTGGTGGGGTCCGCCATTGAAGTTGGCTCCCTACACACAAAGAATTCCCACGAAATGATGCATGTATTTAATTCAGCGTTACTGTTTTTAATTTTTTCTAATTTATGTAAGCCTCATTGTTTACTCTCCTAATGTTGCTTAAGAGGTCTATCAAGTCACTTCAAATGTAAATCCAACACATCCTACTGCTGCTGGTTCACATTAAAAGCATTCAACTAGTGAATCGCAGGGTGTTTTTTTAGTGCGAAGCTGTCACAAGAAATGCCCCGTATTTAGCACTGAAAAGCAATCATTCTTTAAAAATACCTACAAAACAAGTCAGCAGGCCAGTTTATATATTGCAAAACTGAACCAAGGAGAGCAAAGGTGATAACTTTCTTGAATTCTGTTTCACATTTGGGCAGGAAGAAAGACAGAATTTACATTTATTTATTTGTTTTGTGAGTATACTGTACAAACTTACATACGCTTACACAGTGCTAACTCATAGGTAAACAGCATCCTTCAATCATTACACCTCACAAGTGTGGTTAAAGTAATATACTTACATGCAATCCGGACGTGTGCCTTGCGGCTTTTGGTGGTTCCAGCAGAGCTCCAGGCCACGCACTGACACCAGTAATCTTCAGGACCAAATAGCTCCTCAACCTGCTGTCGTGTAATTTCTATACTGGCTTCTCTTACCACCAGACCTGCAAAGGGGGAAAAAAAGCACTTTTTAATCATTTGCAATATTAGCTGAGATTGAGATTTTAGCTTAAGAGTCTCAAGTTCCAGTTTCTCAGTGAGCCACTGATATTCAAGAAAAAATCAAGCTAAAATCTAATTAAGCTTCTACTCTGGTGATATGGCTTTTATGTTAGCTTAAGAAGCAAAAGCCAAAGTGGTGCATAGAAAATATCTTAGCAAGTAAATAGAAGCAGGGGATAATCATACAATGTCTGCTGCTGTTTACAAACCCAGGTCATTTTACTGAGTAGATTCAGAATGGATTTAATGTAAACTTTGTGAGATTGTTCCTTTGTACTTCTACCACTTATCTCACTCTGCTCTCCAATTCCCCCTTTTCTCTGCTGTTTGTGAAAGCAGCTCCATTTGAAGAATAAGTGTGAGGTTTAAATAGCTGCACCCCACTGATAGGACTGTGAAGGAGCAGAGATAGAGCGGGTCTGCAGTGGAAAGTAGGAGATGAGGAGCCAGGGATAAACTCGGGATGAAAATATGTGAGGCATAGGAGAGGGACAAGTAGAACACAGGTGCAAAAAGGGGAAAAGATATATTAAGAAAATTGTGGAAATGTATGACAAACTAAAGAAATAATTAAGGAAAAATAAGTTGAAATAGAATAAAGAAAGAGAAAAGGAACATTAGAAAAAGGGTAGACTGTAATTGAGAGCAACGTGACAGAGACACAGTGAGAGGAAGGTAGAGGATGACAGAGAAAGAGGTGGGAGAGGGCAATGAAATGTGAAACGAAAAGGGAAAGGAGATAAAAATGGGTTTTAGGTAAAAGTATGTGGGGACTGGGGAGTAGAAGGGCAAATGCTCTGAGAAAAGATCTTGGCAGTTTATTTCAGGTTCAGCGGTGTTACAAAGACCCAAGCAACAATCTCTATGGGGCTTCACAAATCTGACTTGGGCCTATTACTTACGAAGCCTCTCAGTAAGTTCTTGCCACCAGAGAAATTGAGAGACAGTTACAGTAAGCATGCCAGCATAAAGGCAAAGGGGACAGAGAGAGTGAAATCTAGTGAGCAGGATTGTGGCCGACCAAAGGCCATTAATGGCTGGAAACAGTATTAAAGAGAAACCCATGAGGGCAAAGAGCAAGAAAGGTAGCAAAAGCTTTCATGAAAGCTATCTGGGAGATAGGGAGACATGACTTTTGAGTTGAAAAAATTCAAAAAGATTGATAAAGTAAAGGGAAACTTGGAAGATTGGCAATTCAAATGGCACTGATGGCACAGAGGCCAACGAGGAAAGCAATGAAGAAAGTAAAAAGCTTGTGGAAGGTACTGCTGCCACAACAAGGGATAACAGTCAGTGAGGGGGAGAAAACTATAAGGGCAAAGAGCAAAGATGGTATAAACTACTGTCGAATACCAGCGCTTGAGCAAACAAGCAAACAAGGGAGATTGTTATGGCTTTACAGCTTAAAATGAAAGCGCAAGGGACACAGCAAGAGAGCTAGAGACTAAGAAAATGGCAGCTAAAGAGGCAATTATAACCAGCAGGCAACCCAGGACTAAAGTTGAACAACTAGTAGGCAAAGAGTTGCAATGAACAACAAACACAGTGTGGACAAAAGGGACAAAAAGGATAGGTAGGAGGTGGAGACCAGTGAGCATGCTACTGCCGAAGTAATGAGGAAGGTATGGCAATTACACTGAATGGTTCAAATGAGCCAGACAGCTAGTTATGGCAAATGGACTCAAACAAATGCAAAGAAAGCATATGGAATGGTACATGAGTGAGGCCATGGGACTTCAGGACACAGCAAGAGATAGGGAGCAAGCTTGTGTTGAAGACAAATAAAGGAAAAACACATGCACATTTACACCTTTTGCATCACTGCCTACATGGCTTATTAAGCTAAGCAAAAACTATTAGTAGGACATTATCATTAAATCACTGGAGCAGTTTAAAGTTTAGCCGATATTTACGTTGTATACTTTGCATTGGAAACAAGAGACATTTATGCAGCAACCCTAAGAATTTGTAGACCCCATCCAGTAAAAATATGTTTTTTCTTTCGGTTCACACACACTGAGAATGAACAGTGAACTACGAGACTTCTTGTGTCCAGCAGGAAAACAAAACTCACAAAATCCACAAAACTTGAATATTCATAGATTCTTGACATTTTTAATTAGGTAGTAGAAGTAGATGCATTTTTAATTATTTTAATTAGAAAATTATACTTTTTTGGCAGAACAAAAACCATATAAGACTCACATTATTGTGTCTTAATTTGTCTATTTTTTTCTTAATACATGTCTGGGGGGATCTATAATACTAATACTAATACTATTTTTTGCAACAAATAAATGATAATGAATCAGAAAATAAGAAATCTAAAAGTAAGAAGTAAAGAGATGGCATATGTTAATTCCAGAAAACAGTCAAAACTTCTGTACAGATATCAGTCTGCACTCTCACCTGCTCTGCACTGTTTATTGCTTGGAGAATAGTGCTGCACCTCAAGTACTCTGACTGAAAAAACTGCAGCTGACTTGCATTGCATAAGAGGATGCTTTCTCCCTGCAGATGACTGAAGAAAGCTGTGCCAGATTAGTTTTAGTAACTTTGTGTTTCACCTACTGCATGTAGCATGCCTTAGTGAATATAATATAAACTACACCTCACCCTTGAATTCAAGTTTTTTAATCTGATAGGTTGTTAGGAAGTGGTTTCAATAAAAGTATGGCTAACAGTTCTAAAGTAAAGAATTATGACATATCAATATTGAGATGAGCCTGGGATGCTAACTATGAACCCAAAGCAGAGTTGGGTGATGTCACTGATCTTGTTGACAGTCATCTGTGCCAATTTAACAATTATAACTACATTCTTTCATATAAAAACTATAATTATGCATGTAGTGTGATTTACAGTTCAACCCTGTATGTATGGCCATACATTTATTTGCTCTTTTAATTGGTGAGAGGATTCACTTTAAAAAAGAATGCTGGAAGACGCTAGAATCACTCAAGAGTTAGGGATCAGTGAGTGAATAAGGGGTAAACAGGAAGTGTGTTGCAAGGTACTGCATGTAATGAAAAAGGGAGATATTAGTTAGAGGACAACATAGAGCAGAGAAGGTTACAGAGACATAAGAAAACAGAAAGAGGGAAAACAAAACAAGAACAGAACATATAGTGAGTGAAACAGAGAGCATCAGGGAGAGCGGAGTTGGTTTCACAGCGGGGGAAATCAATGGTTGTAATGATGAAATGTGTTCGATTTCTGAGCGAGGCTGAAGGTTGGAGCTAAAAAGATACACCAATCTGACACTGCTGGCTTAGTGTGCAAGGAAGGCCAAAAGGAGTTGTCAAATGAGTCTGCATACACTCAACTGCCAGCTTGAGAAAACTGTTCAGCCATCAGAACCCTGATATTCTTAAACAATGCCTAAATGGGATATCCTGTTTTCCGCTAGATTTTAGAGAAACAGGATTTCTTGGCCCTTAATAACCGAGTTTTGTGTGTGAAAAGACCTCCAAGATGGAAGTATCGCTGTGAGCATTGATGAAACAGAACATCATTCCTCTTGGCGATGCATCCCTGTGTTCAAAGTAAGTGGTAGCTTCAGACACATTCGCATAGAGAAAATCCTCACTGCAATGTTAATCCCAATGCTCCGACCAAAAAAAAGAACCAATCCAGACCACAAGTGAGAATTTGGGATTAGACATTAAATGTTAGAAGTTATTGAGGCAACATAAACTTATCCTCCTTTGTGGAGATATACATTTGTTTTTTTCCGTCACTGTGTTTACATGAAAATGACTTTAATTTGATGTCAGTTGGAACTTAACATATTTAAATATAATGTTTCTTCCAGTGTCATGTGTGTTCTCTTGTCAGCTGGTAACTAAAAGTAAGTGGGAAAATGATATATACCACAAGCATACCAAACTGTTTGCAACAGGTCACAAATTTACACCAATCTCCACCGTCCATGAAAAGAAAGTCTATTGTTTTCAATAAAGAAAAAAAAGTGGGAAAAGACAAAGAAGATAAATGAAGTCATGCTGCTCAAATCGGCAAAGCCCCAGTTGTTTCCATTGTTTGCTAGCTCACAAGCTCACAAAACTAATGTTGCTGGACAGAAAGCGACTGAATTACCTGAGGCTTATAAAGTCCCTGATCACTCACTGTGTTATTTTGTTTAGATACAGTGCTTAGAGCATTCACGTCATTCGGTTATGAGAAGACAAGCACGGAATTTTGGGTCTCTGTAGCATGACAGTACTTCTTCACATCAACAAAACCACTGCTGTCAGCTGGAGGAGGTGAGGAGAAGGAAGTAGATGAAAAATGGAAGACAAGTATCAAGACAAGTGGATACTGTCACAAACATTTCTATCAATCACAAGCCCTGAATATTTCTCTTAGTCCTAAACTGTCAATTCTTATAACAAAGTTTACTTGTCAACTGGGGAGTAAAAGTACAAGAGTGGGTGAATGTGCTTTGTCAGGTCTGGACTTTTTTATTTGACAAATGGGAGTAAACATGCACAAAAAATAGTTTGGGCAGGTTGCAGTGTAGAGATACTTTCCTACAAATACTGTAAATCTTACTAAACGTAATGAGGAGGAAGGTTCAGTCAAACTGCAGAAAAAAATGAAAAGCAGAAAGTAGCTCTAAAAAACTGACAGAACAGAAATGTCCTCATAATAACCTCATGTTGTTTGCCCTAACTCCAGTGTCAGCAGAGTTGCCACATCCACAAATACCTACAATTAACCTACTTGGTAACTTGATATCATAACCAATAAGAACTGATGGCTTAAAATTGAATAAGACCAAGATTATAAAGAAAACACTGAAAATGAATGTGATGTATCTCCAGAAGCTTACAGACATTAGCTTTTCATGTCATCAAATCTGGAGAAATGTTGGGGGAGAAACAGCTGATAAGCAGCCTTTTCACCAAATTGATAAGGAAAGCAGAAAAGCATGTTTTCT